CAAACCAAGCGCGATCTCCAACATTGACCGACTCGGATGAGACATCAAGTAAAACTTGGATAATCGTGTCAGGAACTGCAAGCAGTTAAGTTCAGTAATTCTCAGCGTGGACAACTCTTGGAGAACAACGCACCAAATATCTGAGCGTCTACATAGCCCTCAACAACATTATCATCGAAAGTGACCCGACACATGTACATGCCTGATGCAGCGTCGTCGAAATCCTTGATTCTGCAAAGGATCATTGTAAAGGTCAGTTTCAGAATGTTTAACAGAGAAATTCATAGTAATATGTACTCAAGCTTGTTCCCATTGGGTGTAGCATTTGGAGGAAGTTCGCCGTCTGTACGCGACCATTCCACCTGAATTATTTAATTTTAATAGATATCACCAACAAGATTACAGTCAAATTACCACCTTTGATCCGGGAACGGAGTAAATCGGGCAAGTGAATGATGCGTCAGACTTCTCATCGAATTTGACAACTTGTGCATCTAAGAAAAGTAGTTTATCTGCTAGAAAATTTTTATGAGCAAGTTAATTTCTCTTTGTCGTGCAAAATGCGCAAGTTGCTTTGATCAAACGGGACTACAAGATCACTTTTAGTTAATTTTCCCAGGATCTCTGCTAAAAAAATCGAGAAAGGACCTCTAATTAGTGTGGTCTGGCGTAAGTTTTGTTTTATTTCATAACTACTATTGACTAATATACGCTCGCATGACTTCTATCGAGAATGAACGAGAGATCATGTTGTACGCATTTGATTCGCCAGAATCCCCTCATGAAATTTATGAAAAAGGCGAGTAGAGAGCACTGTGTTATCAATGAAACAACAGGAGTATATTAAGCTTATGCATATCCAAAACTTTTGCGACAATCTACTATGAAAGTTAAGATGAAACATTTAGGAAAACCGAAATTTAAATTTAGTGGATCGATTACCTGATTACCTTGCCCTGAGTCAGAAGAATGAGAGTTTGTTCAATATTTCCTTTTTAAATGCTTTTACAAAAAAATCTCTACGAATTGTTCGCCCACTGTTCGAATTGCTATATCCGACGCTGACAGCTGTGTAAGCGCTGCCGATGACGACTCCATTGTCATCTTCCACATTGCATCTGTATACTCCATAATCGTTTGATGGTTCGGCGCTCTTGATGTGGAGCGTAGCCTCATTACCAAGTTTTCTGACAATATTTCCGCCTCGTAACAAGGCCCATTCGAAGTTTTCACCATTCTTGGCACCTAAAACTTGTGGAGGCTCGGTTCGGCTAATTTGATGATGAATAGTGAGATTGAGTGAGACAGTGACGAAGGTTAGGACACACAATCTGTCAGTATTAATAAATAATGTGATGAACACAGAAAATATGTGAGAATCCGCGCACTTTACACGACAAAGGCACGACAGCATTAGTTTCACTCCAGGAAAATCCACACAGTGGAGCTGAGACCTGAGTGTAAGTATGTAGCATCGTGCAGAAAGAAACAGAACCGAGTGGTGAATCCTGTAGGACGACCAGATTTGTAACAGAATGTGCAAAATCGTAGTTAGTATATTCATCAGTGCAGTAGTATCTTCCTCGATCACAAACATCTATATGCTTTAGATGAAGGTATCGTTCCGAACCGACCATTTGTGCATCCGTTAGATTTACAGTGTGCCACCACATAACACGCGTTTTAGGATCTAAAGCACCGACAAGGTTGATAAGTGGTTAGCACTACACGACACAATTAATTCGGATTAGAGCATCAATTCTGCTAGATTTGACTCTCTTACCTTCGACAGAACACTTGAGTACGATAGATTCGCCCTGCGAGACAACTCGCACTCGAGGAGGCTCAATTTCGACCTTAAAGATGGTATACGTCTAGAAATAATATTGAGATGATAGGTTTTGAGTTTAATTGAATATTTTTGCAGCAATGCATTGATTATTGTCATAATCTCGCGTCAAATTCACCTAAATTACCCAATATCATTATTCAACCACCAGATCTATATCAAGTAAGAACAAACTAGTATAACCGTTGGTAGGTAAGGTGACATCATCAAGGAATCATGATGGAAATTGCGAAAAGCATATTGATTAGCCATGAGAATAGCAATTCTAGTACTTTTACTGAGGATGAAATACCGTAGCTGGAAAGCGTTATGATAGCAATCCTAGAGCAACCACTTAACTATGTAAATAAGGTAGTCAGTAGTTACGGTAGTTTCTATTAATAATATAGAACCCTAGCAACTATGTATCATTTTTAAGCTATGAAGGCTATAAGGTCTTTCTTTGATCAGAATAAGTTGTGCCCTAAATAAATCTGATTACCTTAGCGTCTTCAGTCTCATCCGTAGAAGAATAGACCATAACTGAGCTCGATGCGATAAGTTCATTGTTACGGTATCCACGGCATTCATACTCTCCAGCATAGGAATTCTCAAAATTTATTATTAAACATAATTCTACTGAGCTTGACAGATAAGGTGCATGATTTGAAGCAGCAAGATCGTTTAAGTGGTATTCAACAGATACCTTGAAATTGGGGAAATGAAGTAGACCGGGCTCGTTGTGCTCTTCAACGTCTGTTGGCAGTTGATCGTCAACCTTTGAGTCATTTATTTTCAAAGGGATTATGGCATAAGCACAAAAAACGAGGTGTTACCTTAATCCATTCAAGCCTGTCAACAAGAGAGCTCCCAGTAGCTGTGCAAATAAGTTGCGCCGGTTCTCCCTGTTCGAACCATTGCGATGATCCTCCAAGAATAGAAACAGTGGCGACTCTGGACGGTTCCACTACTGCAATAAGAAAACGAAAATCTCAAAATCCTATTGTCGTCCTCCAGCTATAAAATCCAAAATTTCGCGTGAATAAACAAGACGTTATCACTAGAACATTGGGTCACCTTCAATGTAAATGTTCTTGGTGGCCGTCGCATGGCTGTTCGATCCCTTGCAAGTATATGCTCCTGCATTTCCAAGACCGATAGCAGGATGTCGAATGAACTGCTCAGATATAGTGACCGGCTTGTAATCGTCAGGGAGATCACCTCGTTCTGGTCCAGGGTCATGGAGCCATTCAACCTACAAACACTTCCTTTTCATTTTGTATAAAGGGAAAAAGCTAGAGCATTAGCAACCTCAGGCTCGGGTTCTCCGAAGGCTTCACATTTGACGAGCAGAGGCTCCCCAACAGTAAGAATCAATCTGGGGCCAGCCGGTGTGGTTTTAACAGTGAGTGATGGCCCAATATTGACGGAACCGTAGTCAGATGCCTTGAAATATAAAACTTAAGCATGTTAACAAAAAAAAA